ACTAAAGGCTAACCAACCCAATCAGACAGAAAACCATGAACAAATATAAACAATATAATATTATAAAGTGATTGAAAATAACATATTTGATGTATATCTTTGGTGAGTACTTTTCCCCGTTTAGTTCCGTTAGTAGGCTACCCTTTATTTTACGTTCACACCAAAAAGAGTACTTAGTGCCGGGAACTTTTACCCCCATTTGTTGTGCCTGCTAGAGAGGTGGTACTATCCTGGGGAGAAAAAAGTACACATTTCGATTGGCTGGACGAATTGCAAACCACGCCCCGTAAAACTCTGAAAAGTTTTGTGAAGCTGCCATTGTATTTTCTGGCATTAGCATTATTAGCATTAGCATTAGCCCAGTGCACAAACGCAGAGAGACTAACTTATGGCAACACAAAAAAAACATGGGAGCGGTGGAGATGAGGAGGTGTCGGCGTTCTGGTGATTTACTCGGAAGGCTTCAGTAGAAGCTGCTGGGAGTGCCAGCAGCTTCTACTGAAGCCAGTCCCCAACTCTGGGGGCTTCCGGCCGGGGACTTCGGGTGGCAGTATACGCCGTGAAGTTGGTTGCGGCCTGCCAGTAAACCCAAAGCAGAAGAAGACGAAGTGACGTCAGCGGCTCATTTGCGTAATCTTCCCTCAGGGAACTTATTCCGGTGTGAACGCGATCTGTACTTAGTTCCATGGGGTACTAAGTGCCGGGGCACTAAGTAGGCTACGGCAAAGTACTTGGTGTGAAAGCGGCTAATATACACTGGTTCCATTAATAGCAGCTTGCACCAGAATGTAGTCTTTAAAAGAATACAAATGAACAGTGCTCGACACTCACTTCACATCCCACTTATTTACTCACTAGCATAATTTTTTACACAGATGATAATACTGCCATGATTATCTATCATCACCTTCCTGACATGTCATGTGACATTATCATCATGTATATCCTGAGGCAGAAGGAGGGCTTGATGCATGCAGTGTGTGTGTCACAACGTTATCACTTTCCCAGGCCACACAGGCCGACTGGCAAGGACATATGGCCGACCCGCAGAGGGCCATCGGCAGGAAACCCTTTCCTCCGCACTGAACCTCTCTGGCTGCGAGCGGCTGATTGGACGTGACGTGACAGGTGGATAACCGTACAGGCGACAGCTGGACGCCTGCCGGGATCTGAAGAGTCTCCAGTTTAGAGCTGATTGAACCTGGCTCTCCGTTTCACAGCCTTCTGATACTATGCAGTGACCACTGATGCTGAATAGAAGAAAAAAAAATACAACAACAAAATAACAACGTTAAAATTGAAGCCAGACATGCTGCTGCTGGGATTTGAACAGTTGGCCTGCTTCAGTTCTGAGTTCCAAGTCAGCCAATTAGAGACAAACATGAATCCACAGGCAATGCTACTTATTAATTTATGACTCTTGGAAAGCTAGAATATGAGATATCTGCTGGTACAGATTACCATAATTATTGGCAGAGAATTTTTTTCCTCTGTTCACCTCAACAGAAAATCATCATATCTAATTTGCCTACCTGTTATTGTGATTGTGAGTAAATCCCCATGCAGGAAAAAAGCCTTATAGCTTCCAGCAGCATTTAGTTCTCGCTGGTTGCATTGTGGTGAGATCTTTATTATAAATAAATGAAATTGGTAAACAGTTCAGAGCTTCAATTGATTTTATAGCAGAATCTTTTCAGCCATCTTAAAACTCAATACCAGATATCATCTTTTGGCGTGGGCTTTGTGGACTTGCTATTTTGCATTGATGTTCATCAGAGTTGAAGGGAAATGTCCATTGTTGAAAAGCCAGAGACGTCAGTTTTTTCACTGACAGCAGCCTCAGAATGCAATGCAGCCACAAGACATGTGACTAAAGGCTGTAACTTCATTATACGTACATCTCGATAAAAATGATCCATAACATATTTAAAATATATACAATATGAGGGATTTGTGGTGTGATAAAACCCATCTTTTACCTTTTAGAGTATATAATGCATGTGACACAATCAGAACATGTGGAATAAGAGTTTTGCCAACTATAAACTCTGTGGAAAACAGAATCAATTGAATGTTAAAGGGTTTAATTACAGTAAATGATGGTGAGGTTTGTTATTTCTCTGGGAGAATCTCTGGGAAAACATTTATTACATCCCAAGCGATTTATATGTCTACAAGATCTTGAAAAAACGAAATGTTAAGGAGACTTAACTTTCTGAACTGTGGATGTTCCAAACCTATGTGTAATGAGCCTGAGAATTGGGTTGGATTAACTTTGGGTAATTGCAATAAGATTGCAATCAAAGTTTCAATTAGACTGCAGCCACAGTTAGCTAACTCCCGTCTGGGTGTTGATTTGCGATCTGGTAATTTGGAATTAGAGTGTTAGTCTTCTCGCTCTCTTGTTCATTTTATATCTTTCAAGTTAGGGGAGGTTTTTCTGGGTTGGGAGCTTCATTACTTTTCCTGTGTACGTCCATAAGAGGAATCTAATGTCTTACCGAATTTCCTGTTTGGACAGGCCAATTAGCCCAAAACGATGAGGCTGTGCTTAGGGACCTTTTAAGTCATCAGTGTGTTCTCCTCAAAAGAATAAAATAATTGACCAATGCATGGAGGGTTTTACAGTTTTCCTCGATTGCTAACACACTCAAATTATACATAAAGCACAATTATTTTAACTGACACTCAAAGAGCAAAACATCGGCTCAAATCTCCAAAACTCTAAACACGTTTTCAGCTTTTCACACAATTTGCAAATCAACATGGCACTTTTTGCAAACCACTGCACACGTTTCTCCACGTAAGACACAGGAGTCTGACATAAAGTCACGTGTTAGCTGGTTTAAAACACTGATATTCAAAAGGCCTCACACATGACCAATGATCAAGAAACACGTTCCACCTGACCAAACACCTGATAGCATAATTGTTGGCGCATCAATCAGGATGTTAGCACTATGAAAAGACCACAGGTGAGTACTTTCTTACAGCAACAATGGAAGCCAACATGGAAGCAAGAGGAAGAGGAGAAGAGGAGGAAGGGTACTCTCTAATGAAATGAAATGTTATCAACCATGGTTTGACGATGAGAGGCTGGACAGAGGGTTCAGCCTAATCTAAGCCGATTTACTGTCGCCTCTGTAATCCGGACACTTAGACTTGAAAACAGGTTAGTTCCCAGTTTTTATCTCTGCATAATTCGTGACATATCAGTGCTTATATCTGTTGTGTGACACGTATTTACTTCATTACTGTAATTGAGTTGTTAGCATGTTGCATACTATAACTGTACAAAGATCCTGCACAATGTACAGTGGTAACACACACTGACCGACCACTATGTCTTTGTTGTTTATCTGAAGGACAGAGAAACAAGGAGGTGCAGGTGGAAGGCTAAGGATTTTCAATGAGGCACAGGAAGCAGCAGAAACTGGGTTTTGGCAAACAATGCATCCCACTTAGAGAGATCCGAAGCATTGTAGCTATGTGCTGAGATGCATGTTGCACAATGTTATTTTTGAATAAAATGTGACTTTGTTCAACAACTCATTTGTATTTCTTCATTTACTGTATTTCTGTAAACTCAAGCAATCTTTCTCTGCAGAAACCTCTCTGTACAGAGCACAGCCCATAACAGATGAAAGTGTTTTAGAGTATGCTCAGCAGTGTGTAGTTGGGTGGTCAAACCATCTAGTATTATGAATGAAGTGTGTTATATTTGGTGCTAAAGTTTGAATTTGGTTAAGTGTTGATGTAGTTTTGAGTGCAGTTCTTCATTTAGCAGGAGAAATTAGGAGTTTTGCACTTTGGGTGTGTGGCTTTGTGAATTGTGTTTAGTGTTCTGAGAAACTGAGCAATTAAAAAAAAAAAATGGTGTTAGCAATCGAGAAAAACTGTAAATGTGATAGGGATATAATTGTTTGCAGAAGTTTATTTACCCCAGGGTTTCCAGCATTGTAGAGTTTGCTAAAAGTGAGCTGTGTGTCTGTGTGGCCCTGGCAGAGCTCCAACACTTTGACAGATGGAGATATTTCAAATTGCAGCTTCAACATAGACCTCAATGCATTAAAGGCTTGCCACCTCTGATTCTGGCCTAATTATTTCCTAAATAATCTGTACATCAAAATGAGATGAAAATGTCCTAATCTCATCCATTTGATACTTCTTTCCAGCCCACATGTTTAGTCTTTTTTTCATGTCTTATAAATATAGCTTGACATTCCCTAAGGGAGGTTACTATTGTAACAGTATCAGGTCTAAAACCACCAGACTCAGGGACAGTTTCATTCAGGCCATAAGACTGTTAAACACCTGAACTAAGAACATCCATAACATTCGCCTGTTTTTCAATTTACAAATTAGTTATCACTTGTCTCTTATGGCACTACTTATATTCTATTTATTTGCACTATTTATCAGTTTTATTGTGTTGGAGCCTGTGACCTAAGATTTTCATCGACATAACTACACTGTAGCTATGAACGAATGACAAAAAAAGCCTTGAATCTTGAAACTATGGAAATACATTTGAGAAATGTAATTAGTAAATATAACACTAGGGGGCAGCAACACCCTTAAAGACATTGGTCTATGTACACGAAGAAAACGGTGACCAACGAGGGGCCATAGAAGTAGAATATCTAGATCAGTTTGCTCTAATTAAATTAATTGTCCTTTATTTGCGTTGGATTCAATTGTGTAGGGTTATTTGTGTTTTCATTGGTTGGTTCCTATTGACGTTTCAAAGCACATCATGTTGAATAATATAATATTCCTGTTTCTGGTGTGTACCATAAATAGGTTGAATCCATATATATCCAGTTAAAGACAACATATTACAGTATCTATGTACAATGCATTTCAGATGTTTCTGTGATTCATTCTCTATTTTCATTTCTAAAGAAGTACAAACACGATACATTATTAGGAAATACTGGAAAATATAGCAGCATTTTTGCAGTACTAAGTATAAACTTAGCTACATGCCTGTCTATGTGGTTTGATTCTATGTCCAGGCTGCTGCTGTATTGTTTTGATTAGGAAAATCATTTGCACAGGTAGAGATACGGATTACGTTATCTAAGGTTAGTTTTCATTCGATGATTTAATGATAAATATACATTCAATATTTCAGTTAACATAGTACGAAATCTCATCTTGACGAGTTAATGTAACCTACAGCAAAAAAATAGGTGCCCGTATGCTAGCTGACTGCTTGCTAACTGAGTGCTAACGCTAGCTAGGAACATCAGTCCAATATCCTAGTGTTAGACGATTGTTTCTGATGATATCTTCAATATGTCTTTGCTTTTAAACATTTCCGTTGGTTAATATAAGACAGTCAATGACCGTCCTACATGCTGAAAAGCGCATTTTATGCACCGCAGCTGTTAAAACTGACATGAGCTCATTTGTATAACCGAAGCTAGCTAATACAAATGCTCACACCAATTGTGAGAATATCATCGACATTTAAACGTCTGCCGATTTAAAATGACATACGTTGCATTAGATTCTGACCACTCACTAACGAGTGTGACTATATTGTCTTACCATATGAACACAGCATTTGCTAACACCAACGCTTTCAACCCTGCTGACTGGGTGCTCATACAGAAGTATTAAGGACCTCACATTAACGTTATTACAACCAATAAACAACGCTCAATGCTAACATAACAGCAACATGTGCTAATTACTTTTATTTAGCCATTTTTTTCGGATTTAAAGTATAGGATAGCAGTTTGTAGGTCTATGTTTGCCTTGTATTTCTTACAGCCTATTCTAGGATGCATAGCTTGGAATAGGAATATTTAAATGCTTGCAAACAGTCATATATATCATCATTTAAATATACAGAGCAATGCTTGAGGAGTCTAACAAGATAAACGCATTTTCTGTGTGTAAAGTGACAGTGAAGCACTTAGTGTAGAGATATATTACTCTGTCCACGTTAAACCATGTATCATGTATTGTGTGCGTTCACCCAGCAGAGGGTACTATGGCATAGCTTTTATTTGTGAGGTTTAGGAAGCAAAACACTGTGAATATAAAGTATTGTTTGTTAGCTGCAGAGTGTTTGTTCATAGTTAAGCATCAGCATCTTAAAGCCCTACCTGCTGGTACAGTTTGTTTAATAGGCGACACACCTTGTGTTTGTCAGTATCTGTATGACTTTGATGTGTCACTAGAATCTGACCTCAGGCATCACAGAGTATGAGAGAGAAACCTTGCCTAACTGATGCTGCTGTTGGGGGAATTTCCCCCTCATTTTCTTCCCAACAGTGCTTTTTGTGGTAGACGGGCTAATTCCTCTGTGACTTTTCCCACAGTACTTAGTGACAGGGGGCAAAACCACATCCAGGATACAGAGGCTTGCTTCCCACGTAGTTATTTAGAAGAGGGGCAAAAGGTTAAAACACAACCTGGGCTGTTTGCCCGGAAGAGCCCTGAGTCAGTATATTTTTAATTAGGTGCTTCCTGAATTAATTTAGGATTGTTCGATTTGTTGTGTTTCATAACTGACCTAATATTATTCTAAAAGTAGCAGAGTTCCCGTTAGAGTATTTGTTCGCCGGTCAACATGTCCGTTCAAGTTTAATTCTTCCGGACAACATTTGAAAAGTGCAGGTCAAAGGTCTTCTTTGTTATTTATTGAGCTTTAAAACCAATTGATATGATTCGATATTAAACAAACTAATTATAGTAGATGAACTATTCAAAAGTGTACAGTAATTTACAATAACACGGTAATAATAAACGCAGCCCGTCAGTATCATGCAGCTCGCGGATCAGTAATGAGTGACCCGACAGTAAAACTAAACATATCTATAACTAGTTTAGGTAGTTTGAGAGGTCATTAAAATAGCTACGTGTGATATTCTAACCTGGTGTGTGTTTTGTTCCGCTCACCGCTGCATGTGATCATCCAGAGCTGCGTGTCGACTCGTCAGCAGCAGCTGATCTCTCTCTCCGGTCAGATTAGACTTCACTCGCGTGTATGTCCATATTGATCAGATCCAGCTCTAGCTAATGATAGGACTACCTGCTTATTAAAAGACACCTACACAATAAGCGTCGCTATGCAACCGGGTGAGGCCGCAAAGTATAGCGCAGCATTATGCATTTGTTTACATGCCCACCGGAACCCCGAGGCATTACCAACAGATCAACGCACAATCAACCCACACAGGACATCTCTTTCTCCACATTAAGTGTTAGACATTAGAATGGACTATTCTTGTCTGTCACATACTCTTTTGTCTGTCACATAAATGGCGCAAGTTGCGCAACTGATGCGGTATTTGCCTAAGCAGAAATTATTTTGACCGGACACTTTGACCGGAGAGATTTAGATTTGCCGGTCTTCAGCATATTTTACCGGTCATAGTCCGTTAATTACCGGCTAATGGGAACTCTGAAAAGTAGTTAGTAGTAAAAATGTGTTTCAAGCTATGATATAACTAGTAACAAAAAAATCTGTCCACAACACGACTCTCTTGAAAGCTTAGTTTGAACAGAAGTTCAGCTAGAGAACAGATTTTATTTCCCAGAGAGATTTTTGAGATGTAGCTGTTTTCTTCTAAGTGACAGTTCAACAGCTACTTCCTTTTGTTGAAAATAGGCTAAAATAGCATCTAAGGAGTGGGGGTGTTGTTGTTTTGTTTCATTAAATTGCTCAACGATGATTGATAGCAGCAAGACATTTCTATTAGAGGAAGCGTGACTGGCCAAGAGCACGTTTGGAGCCAAGATTGGCAGGAGTTTGCGGAAAAGCGATAGCGTACAATACTGAGAATCCACGATTCGCTCAAACCCTGTCTCAAAGTGCTTCATTCACATTCATCGGGATAAAATGTGTGTCTCAATTTTTTTTATCTGGCTCCTCCAGGTGACAAGCCTTACCTTAACTAATGGATGACCTTTCAAGATCATATATGGTAGGACAGTGTGTAGCTCTAACCAGAGATGAGAACAAAACAAAGACTTGAAACCAGACTGGAGCCAATGACTCATGAGTGGTGACTTCACTTGGACTTTTGCCTTTTGAATGAAAAAAACGTAATTACCTTCCCGCAAGCTGGCCACAAATAAATGACTTTCTTTTCATTTCCTGAATCACTAACATTAATGCTATTTGTTCAAGTCAACACTTAATACGCCAAATCCACTTTATTTGAAACAATCCAACAGCCTCCAATCAAGCTGCAGGAAACAACCATGGAAAATAAATTCTATGTCACTGAGCCCATTTGGAAAAAATTATACAGAAGAATAGATATTTTCTTTGAGCACACATACTATGAGTTGGTCAATGAAAGAGGGCATATTTTTGCGATAATTGAGATTTACTTGTGACTTTCAGAACAATGTCTTTGTCTCACGTCGAGCTTTCATCCTACTGGTTTGAGAAGTTTCCTATTCTAACATCTCCCTCTGTTTTTTCCCCCAGATCTTCACCGTAGTCATCGTGGTCATGGAGGAGCAGACCGCCTCTCCTGGAGCCAACGCCGACAACAACGGCCAGAGAAATGGAGACGAGGTAAGAGCTGGACTCGCTGTTAACACATGAAAATGTTTTCCGATTCAAACTCCAATGAATGTCCTGCCATTACATAACACACAGGACTGCTACCTGAAGCTTAAACACATCTCTGTTTTTGTCATCTCTGCAGAAGCCCCGACGTGGCAACTGGACCAAGGGGAGGAAGAGGAAGAAGCCGATGAAGGACAGCAACGCACCCAAGGCCCCCCTCACGGGCTACGTCCGCTTCATGAACGACAGACGGGAGCAGCTTCGGGCCGAGCGTCCGGACGTGCCCTTCCCAGAGATCACCAGGATGCTGGGCAACGAGTGGAGCAAGCTGCCCCCCGAGGAGAAGCAGGTCAGTGAGGAAGATCCAGACTGAGAAAACAACTGTGAGGAATCATGTGTCAATGAGAGTTGGATAAATGACTAATTACAAACATTTTTGTCTGATATTCCAATTTCAGAATAATTCACAATATTAGAGGGAATTATCATTTTTGAAACATTCACAGTAAGTTTGAAAAGACTGGAGTTTGCCCTTTCCTGTCGTGAGATATATAGGTTTTTGTGCATGATAATGGTCTGCAAAGGCTAACATCTTACCAAGGTGTCTCTCCCACACACTCTCCCCCAGCCTCCATTGGACTCTTTGATTACTTATGTAATATAGTGACATCACTATGTAACCCTTGTGCTTCTATTGGCTAGCGCTCCAACATATTGTACGTTATAGGCTGAGACCTCTCTCCCATAGTCAATTTTGTGTATTACTCTGTTTAAATGTTCCCATGGAAACATCAACGTCTTCATCAGTTTTTATTCTGTAAATATGAATGCAACAAAGGGAACTAACTAAGACGATATCGGTTTTGAAAAAGCAGTGATAAGGGAATCAACAGACCAGAGGCAGGACAGCCAGCAGCAAAATCTGTTCAGTTTTTGATGGATTTTTAATTGTCATTACTTTCAGTAATCGCTCCAACGGTGCCCCAAAGCGCCGGACAGAAATGTTCAGCTGCAACCTGCCAGCACTTAATCTGAAGCCACATTTACCACTCTCAAACCAGCAGAGACCTTTATCTATCTCTTTTTCCCTGTACACAAAGCGTGTCGGAACAAAAGCCTGTTGAGTCCATGGTGTCACTGTTTCAGAGCTGACAAAACACTGACTTATACATGGCTGTGTTTGCTAGTTTGACATCCTTTACAGATTGTTTTGCCATACTTGATGGCATCTTGTATTGTGTCCTAGATACGCCCTCAACTGGGATGCAAGAATAACAGAAAAATAATACAAAAGAATGAAGTTGCTGAGAGAAAAACAGTCGAGTTCAGGCAGATTTTTCATAACAATTTGATATTCCACTTCAAAGATATCTGAGGGATGATATTGTGATTCAACCTCGGAGAACTTTCGGTGGCCTTTAAAAAAAAAAATGGCAGATCATGGATCAACAAAATGATAATGCGTTTCCACATGTTCTTTTATCAAAATGCATCAACTTGGTCTGCTAGCGAAATAGCTAGTGCTTTATCAGTGTGCTGCTTTTCTTGGCTCTCTTTCAAGAAGAAGATTAGGACATGTTTTGTTTTGAAAAGCAAAGACTGGATAGAGCCTGAGAGCTTTTCTGCTGATGTGTATCTAAACCACGAGTTCAGAGCTCAGTCGGATCCACTTTCCTGGCACCAGGTCTTTGCACAAAGATGGATTTAGAAGTGTTTCCTCTAATTCCCAAACTAATGATAATACAAGATGCTTTAATCTGTTTTAAGCCTCGTATTACTGTAGGTTATTAATTTTGGAAATGACAGTTTTTTTGCCTTTTGAAAGAAACTAATCCTGATAAGAAAAAGAACTCTCCAAATCCTCATATTTGACTGAGTCCTTCCAACTCTCCTCACCTTTCTTTCTTCTCTCTGCAGCGATACTTGGATGAGGCGGAGCGAGATAAGGAGCGCTACATGCAGGAGCTGGAGAAGTACCAGAAGACGGAGGCCTACAAACATTTCACCAGGAAGGTTCAGGAGAAGCAGAAAGGCAAGCGACACAGGGGAGGTGAGGTCTGGGTAGAGAGGCAGCAGGGGGTCGAGTAGAATCAACCATTAAAACTAGTGTAGCGACTTCACCTCCAATAAAAATGCCCCAATCACTTCAATTGAAGATATCAAAAAGCCCGACATACTTTTGAACAGGTGGACCAAACCATTTCAATCACACATAGGTGACGATATGTTTAGGGAAGTCACAAAGTTTAAATTAAAGACAAATGAGTTGTGAAAAAAATAGTTTCATAACAGACAACGAATAAAATGTGCGCAGTCTTAATACATCATTATTATACGAAAACTAATAAACAAAAGCACAATTAGCATTTTGTCTCAAACAACCTGTAGCCCACCAACATATTAAAGCTCTGCTGTTTGAAAAGTAGTTGGCAAGATAAAAACGTTATATATCTGGTGACAATCGGATCAACCAGCTATTATATTTGGTGGACTACTGCTTCCAGGTCGACTAAAATGGACATAAATATATGATGAATACGTTTAGCAAGCTCTCAGTTTGATTATGTAGTTGTGTGTCTATTTTCCTTTTAAAGTTAGTTTACATTAACAAATAAATACAGGTACTTGTAATGTTCTTAAACATTTGGTTTTAAGCATAAAGATGCCAGTGAGCAAGGCACCAAACCACTACATTTTAATTTATTTTTATTTTAACTTTACTTAACCAGGATAGATCTCATTGAGATTTAAAATATCCTTTTCAACAGCGTCCTGGCCCAGGAATGGTAACAGCACATTTACAGACCATTTTAAAACCCACAATCACAACACAGTCACACAACAGTTAGCCAAAGCATTTACAGCCACAGCGGCTGATTCAAGGTCAGTTGGAGTAGCTTTGAGTTTGTTTAAAGAGACCAGCTCTCTGACTTTCAGCTCAACTTGCAGCTGGTTCCAAGCCACAGGAGCAGCGTAACTGAACGCCCTCTTCCCCAGTTCAGTACGGACTTTTGGTACATGATCTGGTAATGATGTTGGTTTGTTTGGTTGCTGCTTCAATTTGATACAAGATGTCAGTGTTTATAAAATAAATAAGGCTAAGAAGGCAAATGGTTGCAGGGTTTGACTATATCATATGAATACATGCCTTATTTAGTGTTGAAAGTCAACACTCATTATTTGCTTTCCTCAGTCAATGTAAATGTGGCCGAGAAAAGAGGTACTTTTGGAGTTCATGGCAGTTCCCGTTAAGAGTTAGAGTGTAATCTGAGGCCAAGGAGCGGTTACTGTTCTCGCACAACACATGGTCTTTATTTTCAGTTTCAAAAATGTCGACGACATAAACAGCTCTACCTTGGCAAACAATTCCTAAAGTAGATGATCTGCTCTGTTTCAGGTGAACCACAATGGAGAGGGCGGAGATGGGATTTTTGTATTGCTCTCATTCAGTCATCTGTTCACAAAGTAGTAAAAGCTCACTGCGTCGGGGGAATCATGAATCATCCTCTGTCCTCTCTCTTTATTCTTTCCTTCCTCTCCAGATGCTGGGCACCAGGTAGCCAACGAAGCTCTTCACGAGGTCAGTAACTCTTTCCCGCCCTATCACAATCACTGTCTCTAAGAATACAATAGATTCCTGTCCACGCAAGGAAATCTCAAAACATCGATCTAAAAGATTCACATGGTTAGAATACAATAGAAGCATGTCAACACGTCACAGTAGAGGCACAACATGCAGTATGAACATTAGCACAATATATCCTTTTGAATCAACATGAATTGGAAAGGGTTTGTTTTGACTTTAAAACAAAAATGTTCAGAAAAAGAACGACAAGTGAACTCATGCAAATATTATTAGATTAGATTACCACGAATTTCAGTTTGCATCCAACCAAATTAGTACAAAGAGTAGATAAAGTGCAGATAAGGATACAGTACATCCAGGTATATGTGTTACAGTATATACATGTTGTTGCATAGTGGTGCCATAAATATGAAATGTACTGTATACACAACAGGATAGCAAAAGTGCTGGCAGGTAATATTAACACATTTAGTTTCCTGGGTGCGAAAAAAGGCACAATTTGAATTTATTTTGAGTTTGTGTTACCATGGTTTTCTGTTATTTTCTCACCCAGGAAACTAAATCTGCTTTGTTAGCCCTCCTCTTGCTCAACCCATTAAATGCTTATTGTTGCATCACTAAAGCTGCGTTAATCCTCTTTGGTGCTGTGTTTGTGTTGCTAATCCAAACACTTGGCTTTTGATAAGTGTGTCATTCATTTGTATTAAGTTCTGCCTTTGTGAGGCTTATAGCCTTCTGCTGAGGGGTTATGGTCAAGGTGACTTTATTGGAATCAGCATTCCTGTGTGGATTCCCCCTCCACAGATTTCAAAGCACACGGGATTCAGCATACATTTCATTATGTTATGAAATGAGAAAGGATGATGCGTTCTTTCAGAGGAAGGAGTAAACCTGCGCTGTATCTTTGTGAAACACAATTTGATTGCGAACCATTTCAAGGCCTTTGATATCTTAGCAGCACTGCTGATGAAATTACTTTGCCTTCCTCATTTCTTAAATTGTATCACTGTATTTCCCCGGTGGCAAGATATAACATCTATTACCCACCCACCTACCAACCACATAGATAAATGACCAGCTCTCACTGTCAGTGTGTGCGGCCAAATGTGTTCTCTCTTCAGCTTATCCCCTTTCTGTCTCTGATCAACAGAAGGAGGGTGAAGGGAAGGACAGAACTGTGTTCGACATACCGATCTTCACTGAGGAGTTCCTCAACCACAGCAAAGGTAAAACTCAGCTAGCTCTGTTTGTTGTCGCACTGTAACTTTTTCAAACATCCATTTGTCTAAGTGTTTCTAAACGTGTTCATGGCCACCTCAAGATAACTTTGTTTAAAAGTGCTCCCAGAATACTTCCACAAACTCAGCGATGCTCTGAACTTTGAAAAGAACACACCTCTCTCAAGCAGATTAAATATGAATGCCGCTGTGTCCCCCTCTTTCTCTGTGTGTTTGTGTACAACAGCGCGCGAGGCTGAGATGCGGCAGCTGCGTAAGACCAACATGGAGTACGAGGAGCGTAACGCGGCGCTGCAGAAACACGTGGAGAGCATGCGCGGCGCCGTGGAGAGGCTGGAGGGCGACGTGATGCAGGAGAGGGGACGCAACGGGCTGCTCCACCAGCACCTGGAGACCCTGAGACAGGCGCTCACCTCCAGCTTCTCCTCCGTGCCTCTGCCAGGTGAGGATCCATATCACTGTCTGGCTGCTAAACACTCGGAACTGTTACAGGATGTGTATTTTGTAAATTGTGTAACTTTTTTTATTATAATCTTTGTATCTTTAATACTTTTTTATGCATGCTTCTTAGGTAACACTAAGCTGTCTTTGGCTCTTTTCTGCTGTAACAATGTACATGTCCCCTCTGTGGGACTAATAATGGCATTATTAACATAGGCAGGGCCAGTCTATTGATTGCGTGAAGTAGAACCGCGTGACTCAGTCATCCTTTAGCTCAAAAAGCATTTAAATACCGCATTTAGAAACTGATGAACTCAGTGTGCATCTGGACCCGGTGACAACATTACCTATTGACGCAGCAACCACTGTAAGTTATATTCTTGTTTAATTAGACTTCTCGGTTTCATTTATTCGACTCTGTATAATTGTTACTGTAGCTTAAACGGCTAAATCGCTTTTGAGAGATTTTAAATCTCAGATCTGCTCAGGCGAAACCTGCTTTACAGGTCTGAGCACTCAAGCCTGCATTATTAACATAGGCAGGGACAGTCTATTGTCGCCCATCAGCTGTAGATAGTTAACTAATTAACTTCAGCTGTGAGAACTGAGCAATCAGGTGTCCATTTCGGGTAGCTCTTTCCTGGAGCGTCAGCGGCAGACAGGCTAAGACTGACAAAGACATTAGAGTCCTACAGGAGTCACGAGGGAGGCAAAGAGGAGGCAAATCCTACTTTGATTGAGCTAAGTATCGTTGGTGTTTTTAATTTTTAATTTTGTTGTTTAGCCCCTCATGCTATAATCATGTGTATTTTCTCCATTCCTGTTCATGCGTCTTCTCGCAATTATCACTGGCCCTGTGTATCTCGTAATCGATATAACCGGCCTGCTCTCGTCTATCCCACGTGCTCCACTGAGATCCAACATCTAGTTTCAGGTGGCCTGTGGAACTGCCAGTCAGCTGTTCCTAAGGCTGACTTCATCTCTGGCTACACCTCCCTGCAGTCTCTGGATTTCCTTGCTCTCACTGAGACCTGGATTACTCCATCCAACACATCCACCCCAGCAGCTCTCTCCACTGCATATTCCTTCTCCCATACACCCAGACTCACTGGCAGAGGAGGTGGCACTGGTCTCCTGCTCTCTCCCAAATGGAGCTTTTCCCTCTTCAAGCTACCGAACTTTGCTCCTTCCACCTTTGAGTTCCATGCCGTCACAGTAACCCATCCTATACAGTTAACCATTGTTGTTCTCTACCGTCCACCAGGCGCCTTGGGGGACTTCTTGGAGGAATTAGATCATCTCCTCTCACACATCCCTGAAACTGGCCCTCCTGCTGTACTTCTCGGAGACTTCAACCTCCAGATGGGGAAGATAGACGAACTAACATCTCTGTTAACCGCCTTTGCTTTCTCACTCTCTCCGTCCCCACCGACTCATAAAGCTGGCAATGTCCTTGATCTCATATTCTCAAGGAACTGCGCTACTTCTAACCTCTCTGTAAACCCGCTCCACACATCCGATCACTTCTTCATTTCATTCTCTCTATCCCTTTCCAAACATAACAAACTAATCTCTTCCCATCCTACACTTGTCCGCCGTAACCTTCGCTCCCTCTCTCCCTGTACCTTTGCCTCGTCGGTGCTCTCAGCCCTCCCGTCCTCTGATTCGTTCCAACTACTGCCTCCAAACTCTGCTGCAGAAACTCTCCTCTCTACTCTCTCATCCTCTCTGGACTCTCTCTGTCCTCTGACATCTCGGCAGGCTCGTCAGTCCCCTCCGGCTCCCTGGCTAAATGATGCACTGCGTGCTAATAGAACCGTCCTTAGGGCAGCAGAGCGGAAATGGTGGAAATCCAAACACCGTGACGACCTCCTAACCTATCAAGCTCTCCTCTCCTCTTTCTCTGCTTCGATCTCTCAGGCAAAAAGCACTTTCTTTCAAGATAAGATCCAATCTTCCTATTCCAATCCTAAAAAACTATTTTCCATCTTCTCCACCCTCTTGGACCCTCCAAAAGCTCCTCCCCCCTCCTCACTTCTGTCAAGCGACTTTGTTACCCACTTTGAAAAAAAGGTTGATGATATTCGCTCTTCTTTTTCTGACTCACCTTTACTCACCGCTGGGTCACCAGACCTTCCTTCCACCAACACACTAACCTCCTTTTCCCCTCTCTCTCCAAGTGAGGTTCTTACCCTCATTACCTCTGCCCGCCCTACCACCTGTCCTCTGGACCCTATCCCTTCAAACCTCCTTCAGACTATCGCTCCTGATATTCTACCGTTTCTCACCCATTTCATCAACACTTCTCTAACTTCTGGTCACTTTCCAAACAGTCTCAAGGAGGCAAGAGTAAACCCTCTCCTAAAGAAACCCACTCTCAACCCGTCTGATGTTATAAACTACAGGCCTGTCTCTCTCCTCCCGTTCCTGTCTAAATCACTTGAACGCGCTGTCTTTAAACAACTCTCCTGTTATCTCAATCAGAACAACCTTCTGGATCCGCACCAGTCTGGTTTCAAGGCAGGTCACTCCACAGAAACTGCTCTCATTGCTATCACGGAGGAACTGCACACTGCCAAAACTGCATCCCTCTCCTCTGTCATCATCCTGTTGGACCTGTCTGCTGCATTCGACACGGTGAATCATCAGATCCTCCTTCGCACTCTCCAAAAACTTGGAGTTTCAGGCTCTGCACTTTCCCTCCTCACCTCATACCTGAAAGACCGTACCTACAGGGTGACTTGGAGAGGGTCTGAGTCCGACCCTTGTCAATTAACTACGGGGGTCCCTCAGGGCTCTGTTCTTGGTCCCCTCCTCTTCTCCTTGTACACAAACTCGCTCGGATCAGTCATTAGCCCGCATGGTTTTTCTTACCACTGCTACGCTGACGACACCCAATTAATTCTGTCCTTTCCCCGCTCAGAGACCCAGGTCGTCGCACGCATCTCTGCTTGTCTAGCTGACATCTCTCAGTGGATGTCTGCTCACCACCTCAAGCTCAACCTTGACAAGACTGAGCTGCTCTTCCTCCCGGGAAAAGATTGTCCAACTCTTGACCTGACAATCAACATCGGCACCTCAGTTGTTTCCCCGACTCAGACTGCAAGGAATCTGGGTGTGACCCTAGATAACAACCTGTCCTTCACTGCAAACATCGCTGCTACAACCCGCTGCTGCAGATACACGCTTTACAACATCAGGAAGATACGTCCCCAGCTGACACAGAAGGCGACTCAGGTTCTGGTCCAGGCTCTCGTCATCTCACGCCTAGACTACTGCAACTCCCTCCTGGCTGGTCTACCTGCATGTGCCATCCGACCTCTGCAGCTCATCCAGAATGCAGCGGCTCGTCTGGTTTTCAACCTTCCTAAATTCTCCCACACCACTCCGCTCCTCCGCTCCCTTCACTGGCTTCCGGTAACTGCTAGAATCCACTTCAAGACACTGGTACTTGCTTACCGTGCTGCGAATGGATCTGGCCCTTCCTACATCCAGGACATGGTTAAACCGTACACCCCAGCGCGTGCACTACGCTCTGCATCAGCCAAACGACTCGTTGCGCCCTCGCTGCGAGGGGGACCCAAGTTCCCATCGGCGAAAACACGTGGGTTTGCTATCCTGGCTCCAAGATGGTGGAATGAGCTCCCCATTGACATCAGGACGGCAGATAGCTTGCACATCTTCCGGCGCAAACTGAAAACTCATCTCTTTCGACTCCACTTCGAGCGTTAGAACGATTAACGAAGCACTTTTATACTAATAAAGGACTGGATTACCTAAAGCCAGTTGAGTAGCACTTGAAATGTTTGGCTCTATGAAACCTGATATACTTATATGATTCTGTTTTCTTCAAGGTTGTGTCTTCCTGGTCGAATGTACTTATTGTAAGTCGCTTTGGACAAAAGCGTCAGCTAAATGCAATGTAATGTAATGGTATTCTGATTCTGAATCCCAGTTTCAAACATGGCACAAACAAACTCTCAAGGCCTTTTCACACAGGGGAAACGTTTGACTTTAAATATATCATAATGTGTCAGGCTTTTATCATGGAAGTTAATGGAAGTGCTTCTTGTATGCGCTGCTTTTGTCAAGGTTGAAAGGAGAAGCAAAGTTAACCATCATGTAGTTGTTTTATAATCTAAAAAAAAAAGATATGCATTCATACCCATTTCGTACAACGTGATTGGTTGATGAAAAAAACTGAGAAAAATCGACCTTGTTTCTGAAAATGACGATGATTTTTCGCTGCATAGTTTTCACGTGAAAGTATTCCTAATAAAATGCGTGTCATGTTAACAGATACACATGAAAAAAGGCATTCTTCCTAAAAAAACATTTTTCATCGTTCTATCCGAGGAGATTTTTCTAGCACCTTTCACTTTTTGATATACATGTAAGGGTTTGGAACAAGTGACATTTTGAGATAGTCATTTTTGTATTTGTTGTTGTTCTTTTGTTTCAATAAAAAGACGATGAATGACTCGGCACTATCCTAGACGACTCATTTAGGCGGGCACTACTGCAGCCTCCTGAGTTTGTCAGATATTTGCTGATAGAGAGTTCATGTCTCCTCTGTCACGACGGTCTAGAATAAGAGCATTCGTTTTGGGAAACTCACAACAATAAATATTTAGTTTTTAATCAACATTCTGCTGTGTGTGGGAAAAATGAAATTGATTTTCTTTTATCTCTCAAAGTGAGCAATTTGGCTCTTGGGCCTGCTATTGATCAGTGCACAATATAAACCACTTTTGTCTTAATACCCCATACCAGTAATGCATCCCTTGACGTGAATACTGTAGTAAACTATTTGCAACAAGGTCAGATTTTAAATGAGTTGAGACATGAATGATAATGTAGGAGTGTTCATAACGTCTCCGCTCGAGTGTATTTGCTGTTCTTTTAGAGACTTTTACCGTGTACATTTCTTAATTAATTTTAACCTTAACATTATTTACATTTGAGGAATGTGTTCTCTCACTTTGTTCCTACTTGTTTTCTGCACACAGAGAACCCGTGCTGAGCTCACACCCACAGGTTTTCTCTTGTAATTCTTCCTCCACACCTATTTGAATTTCTTGCTCACACAGCAGAGACGGATTCTGCAAACAGTACTGGAATTATTTCATAAGAGCTTGACAATGAAAGATGATTGCAAAATCCACTTAAACCTAGCCACAGGGAAGCTCTGTGGCACTTTCATTTCAGAAGAAAGTGTCTATAAATTAATTACTGATAACATCAAAGCTTGTTCCGAGTGAAGGCTTTCCTTTGATTGTATTTGTTATCACGGTAAATGAGCCATTTCCAGTTATTAACTTACTTTACAAAGGTTAACTACAATTGAAAACTTGATATACCGGTCATTAAACATGCTCACTATTAAATATTTGAATACACTGGGATATCCTTTGATGTGTTTGCAGCAACAGCACCTAGTAGTAGTAGAGGTAGTGTTGTGCTTGAATCAATCGTATTCTGATGGAAATTGTCATATTTATTTCTGGCATTGTCCAAAATATCCAAATATAAAATGCCCATAGCTGTAAACACAAATGCTTATTCAAGGTTTTATCGGCAGTAATTAGAAGTAAATATAACTTAGTAACATGATTTGTTAAGACAATTTAGTGGGTATGAATAAATATACTTTTAACGGTTTGTGTCGTCCTATGAGGATCTTTCAGCTAAAAGACAATTCCAAGTACTTATTTTTGAGTACTAATATCCTTCATTGTTGTCCTACAGCGAGTGGAGAGACGCCCACTCTGGACAGCATCGACTCCTACATGAAGAAGCTCCACAGCATCATCGTCAGCTGCCCCCAGGAGCACGAGAATCTCATCAACACTGTGAGGGACGTGGTCAACCGTCTGGACAGGTGAGAGACGCTGTTCCTTTCATGACTTTAGTAGACTTTAGAGTTGCAGATGATCCATTTACATTAGGGCTGGTTGATATAGAGAAAATCAAATGTTACAATAGTTCTGATGAAATATCTCGATTTTTTTTTTTGCCTCCATTGACTTTATTGAAGATAGAGTTGAAAAGGGTCTGAGGCCAGTTTTGAGTCCGGGTCATTGGGCCAACAGCAACATTTGTAATAAATAATTATTAGTGATATTGGCTAAGTGGGTAAAGGAAAATAATAAATCGGCTATAACAGTCGAAGTTTAGAAAAATACTGTATTGTTATTTAGCCTTAAAAACCATGAAAAGTCCCATAAGCTATTACAATATGCAAAATGCATATAGATATTTATCTTCACATCACAGTATTGACATAATATGAACATATTGCCTAGCCTTACTTTACATTATTGCATCATCTAATGAACAATCATATTTTTTTTTTGTATTGGCTTTAGAGTAAGCTTTATTATCCCTTTCTCAGACATAATCAATTCAAGTCCAGTAGACATACAGTTTCACCTGTAGATTCATGTATCTTTTTTCAAGCTTTTTAGTTTTGTTTCACCAGTGTTCAATTATTATTAAATGTATTTGGGAATGAATAATGAGTGTGTATTTTTGCTGTCATGCTTTTGCCGCAGATAATTGGACCGTGTCTCGAGGCTGTTCCCTGACCGTGAATCTTCCTGCCGATCTGTCCTCCCAATTTATTTTTAAACGTCTTTTATTACTTCTCTAAGTTGATGTATGTGAAGGGGATGTAGGGACTCGTATTTATTTATTATTTTTTTACACTCTGTCCTCACTTTAATATAGCTGTAGTTTGTTTTATAAATCAAATGGTAGGACATGAAACAGTTTTCTGTCACTCATCGCTCCTGTTCTGTCTTTATGTCCATTTATAGCAAATGCTTTCACAAACAATATCTAAAGCATTATCAGACATGTTCTAAACAAAGACAAAATGTATCCGTGGGTTCACCATATCCAAGAAATGTTTTCTGTTTTTATACTCTGTTGAAGAAAAACATGTGCCATTTATTTTTTCTCCTGTGTGTAAAAGTGTTTGTGTTTTCAATAAACGTATTTACATCACCAGAGCAGTCGGTTTGTTTGGATAGGTTCATAACATGCTGGAATATATTTGCACTGAAATATAAAATCTAATTTAAATACACTATGGACCATTGCCCTAGATTCTTAGTTCATCATATACAGAATCTGTCTCTCCGTAGCTCAAGCTATGACACATATTTAGAGAAAATGGTCCCTCTTAAAGTTTAAGTAGTTTTATATACAGCGACATTCAGGTGTTTAAAAGGTAACTTTGCTAGTGTCTCAAAATTGCCAAATATTAGTATTTTTAATATGTATATTATATTGTATTTCTATTGACTCAATGCTCCATTTCCAGTTTGTGATTTGTAACATTAGGAAGAATTGTTGAATTTTAACAGCCTGGTTTTGAAGTCTACTCTATTAAAAATAACTATTAAGCTCATCTGCTGTATCACGTTTGTAATGGTGCCTATTTAGTGCCAAAGATTATTCAATTAAAGTAGATTTGCAGTCAAACAGATTTGGATTTGTTAGGTTCATTAAGCAGCTTTGCTGTAAATTACCAGAATCTGGAGAAAGAGACACAAATTACTTTGCGCTCTGTGGCACATTCACTTGGCTGTACTCAGCTTTGGGAAACAATGGCCCACTGTATCACATCACAGGATTTTCCCACTCTGGGTGTTTCTCAATGTCGAGGAAAGCTGCTCCAGAGCCACTATTTCAAGGATACTACGTCCCGCCGAAGGACTGTTCCAATGTCCAGGATACTTGGAATTCTACCGAGGCCAGCGTACTTGGTTGCGCGAAGTTTCGAGGCTGCAAGTGTAGACTCCGCGGTCTTAAAATCCCCACAATGCTTTGCGCACGGGCCAATTTCCAAATCTTTGGCGGAAATCGCACTCCATTTAAGACAGGGCCTCGCATATGACGCACACCTGCACACCTGTTAGCCTGTTCCACAATTCTTTGTTTTCCGAGGCTAGGAAGGATTCTTGCCTCGCTTCTGAAGCAACTGACTCGGAGGTACATGTGCTACCAAGCAAGCCTCCTCGACATTGAGAAACTGTGGCCGTTTCTCAATCGCGAGGATGCTGGCTTGGTATTCGCGTACTTCCAAGTCACTTCCTTCAGAAACGAAGCAAGTATACTTCCAAGCCATGGCTACGGAAAACGAAGAAGAATGGAACAGGCTAACAAGTGTGCCACTCTCTCTAACGGTTTCAACATAAACTACCAAAAATAAATACCTCACGATGTCTATTTAATTATGAACTTGCTTTACTTTCACGGAACATATTTTTCGTGATAACAAACAAATGTAACAAAGTAACATATTTACCAACACATGTTCTACGCCAATACATACTTACATTTAAATGTGTGCTGCGTCGGTTCTGCCATTCTCCGCAAGGGTTTTTGAAATTGGTCCGTGCGCAAAGCATTGTGGGGATTTTAAGGACGCAAAGTCTACCCATGTGCAGCCATAGACTGTATATATAAATGGACGTAGGGTCCGTGACGTCACCCATAGGATTCTGCAGAGTTGCCGTGAAGCCCTTAGTAGGCGGAGTCGGCCACTAACGGCTCGACGGTGTCGTCAGAGTCTAACTCCCGCCTTCTCCCGCCTTCTCCAAATAAGGGCAAAGAGGCGGAGCTGAGGCAGAGCCGAGGCGGGACCTGCTGCCAACGAGCGTGACGTTCGAGTCCTAGCTCAGGCTAAGAAGCTAAGCTAACATGCTCTTAGTATCAATCGAATGTAAAACATGATTGATGAAAGTAGTAAATCGGTCAGATTTGACCCGAAGACAACAGGAGGGTTAATGCCATATTCACTTAGTAACGCATGAACAACTTTTACAAATATTTCTATATAGTCTGTGTTGGTAAATGTCATCTAGGTTGCACATTTCCTGCTGAAATACATGCATACCAAGTCACTGCGTGGCACTTTGGTTTTGATAAAACAGTGTAGTTCCACTATATAACGTTACATTCATAATCAAACGAGACAATCTGCAAGATAATTAGCTATTTGGTATTATTCTTAATGCTTGTCATTCACACGTTAATAAAATAAAATAAGTACCGATACATAGCAGCAGGGCCGCCCCTGGCCAACTTGGGGCCCCAAGCGACATTGTGAGATGAAGCCCCCCCCCCCAACCGACAGGAGTGAACATTTTTTTTTTGGAAACAAAGTAGGCTACTTTGCAAATATAATTCCTGTTTATTATTATTATCAACGGTTACTTTTTTATACAGTGAGGTAAATGGTAAATGTGCATGTATGTCGTTCAGTATGGGTTTACAGGTGAATTTTGCATTTCCTGCCAAATACTAGCCTCAAAAAGATAAAAACATAATTAATGCAAATAAACTACTTCTACTAATAATGATAATCATAATCAATTCAATAATAAAAATACTATATTGTTTTATTATAATATAGTTGTAATATAGTCAAGACAAAACATGCTTATGACATGCTCAAAAACTGATATTTCTTAAATCTGTATTGTAGTTCCCTCTGTCAGCAATGTATCAACAACTACACACACATTTCTATCAGTATTTATCTGTGTTGTGGTTGACATGATGATGACTGTTAGGAGTTAAGGGGAGAGGCTGAGCATCACCATGAAATGTGCAAATTGACATACAAATTAATAAGAGGGGAACAAATGCTCCATGTTTTTTAAGCTGTAAACTTTAACTGTTATGTAAGCCAACTAGACAGACAGTTTATCACTCTTCCTCCTGTACATCAGCAGATAAAAGGCATCACATAATGAATGAATGGTAAATAAAGAATGCTGGAAATAACTGCATCTCCATTAGCCTATGCTCTGCAGAGACTGCCTTCTTCATGTCGTGAATTGCAGCTGATGTTTTAAGATGGCAATTTGACTTATACAACATTCGTAAGTTGTACATTTGACTAGATGTCGATTCATTGCAACGGTGTCGGGTTACAAACGTGCTCCTCTTGTCACCTCTCACGGCCCGTTCACACAGCGGCGTGCGCCGCACTCTCACTCTCGCGGGGGGTGCGCGGAGAACTGAGCGGAGAACTGAGCTGAGAACTGCGCACAGCAGCTGAGGCCCTCTGGGCGGGGCCTCCTGTGCAAGGCGGGGCCCCATGCAGCCTGCGTGATTGGCCTGTAGGGAGGGGCGGCCCTGTATAGCAGAATAATTGTGGCGGTGTTCAATTTAATAAGCCTTGCTCAACATCATTTATTTAGCTAATACTACAGCGGGCTGCAGGCGAACCAAGTCCGCGTTACGATGCATTCCTTGATCTCCAGTTATAACACCGGACTCCGCCGCTGGCCGAAGCTAACGGAGCCCCAGGGTGCTAGCTACGGCCGCCGGGACGCGCTAGCGAGCTAGCACCCTGCAGCCCCGTTAGCTTCGGCGGCGTGGACTCCGGCGGCCCACCCCTTTTAACATTTGCTCCCGTTTAGCATTATGGGCGTCATAGCCATATAGTATAAAAGTCTTACCCAAGGCTGAATCATAAACTAAACTGTATATATGTATAAAGGGTTACGTCCTTAGCTGGCTAATAAGCTACATAACAGGCTAAGCTAACAAGCACACAAACACCTGCTAACGGGGTTAACATGTATAATATTATCATTTTACTCACCGAAAAAAGCTGAAAGTAGACTTCTTGGAAGATCTGTTAGTACATTCAAGCGCACAGCACGACATTTTAATTATCTGGTATTTGTAACAATATTCCCTAACAGGCACGATCACCACGAACACAGCTAAAGGATCAAGTACAGTAACTACAACTAACTAACATTGTAGCCTCTATGGTTGTAGCCTAGCAGATTGGACAAGTTGCTGTTAGCTGACAGTGAGGCACGTATCTGTCAATCAAAGTGACCACGCCCTAATGTATGCACAAACTTTAAGACCTAATATAAATATAAAGGGTCGCGTTAGAAAACAATTCACTCACAGATCCATAATCATGAAGGTGGAATCTAACTATATCGATAATAAAATGTATGGAGCCAGGGGTAGAAACATGTTTTTTTCTGCTGTAAAATCGGGCATTTTAACATGGGGCTCTATGGAAATTGCTCCTTTCTGCAGCCATCGCCTATCGGCCAATATATGAACTGCAGTGTGTGGCACTTCCGTATTGGCTTCCAGGCTCTACCCCACAGTTTGCCGCTTGGTGCAGCCTCGAAATTTCCCCCAAACCAAGGACGCGGCCTCGGTGGAATTCCAAGTATGCTGGAGATTGGAACAGTCCTTCGGCGGCACTCGATGACGTAGCATCCTTGAAATATTGGCTTGGAAGCCAAAATCCTCGCGATTGAGAAACGGCCACCCATTGCCTCAAATGAGGAACAAAATGGCCGTAGATGACGGCCATAAATCGTTTTTAGTAAATCGGATTTACGTCATGATTCACTTGGAAATTTAAATATCTGTCTTAAGGAGCTGGCCAATTAGCTTGGATGCCAAGTATCAATTAGCTTGGATGCCAAGTATCAAGTTACTAACATAGTACTGTATTTATTTTCACTTTATATTATGAGCCTTTCCCGTTTCCATTGACAAATGCCCATTTCCTTTTTGCCAGCTGAGACTTCCTGTCCATAATGGCTGTATGTGTCATAGCTTTATGTCCCTAACAGATGTTCTGTTCCCACAGGAGAGTGCAGTGCACACCGTGAGCTAATAATACACAATCGCTGACTGCTATGAAACTGATTATATGTGAGGATAGGTTTCTGTTTGACATGCACGCTGCAAAGGTTCAGTTTCTCAGAACTTCGCTGTGCCAGGTGATGAAGTGTTGAGAGGACTTTGGCAATTTACAGGTTGTTATAAAATACTGGCATTTTACAACCCGGAAGCTAATCAAATGCCAGCTAGTTTTGGCAGTGATAGCCTATAATTGTATTGTCGAAGTAAAACGAGGAAGGGATTTTGAAGTTCTAAAACAGTGAGTGAATAATGTGTAGCTACTCTTAGAAGACTACAGACCAAAACTCAACTATGCTAGCAGA